ATTATTTTTATTTTATGTGTATGTGTGTATTGCCTGCATGTAGGTAAGTGCACCCATGTCATGTAATGTCCACAGAGGACAGAAGGGACTGTCGGATCCCCTGGAACTGGAGTTACAGTTGTTAGCTGCCATGTGGGTGCAGGGATTTGAACCCAGTTCTTCTGCAAGAACAGTCAGTGTTCTTAACTGCTATGCTCTCTCTCCAGCCCCTCAATGGTTTTTTTAAAAAAGAAAGGACATGAAGGTGGGAAGGGGATGTATTGAGGGGAGGTAGAGGGTGGATATTGTCAAAATACATTATATAAATGCATGAATTTGTCAAAGAATAAATTAAAAATATCCTTACAATAAAAGAATCAAATTATGTCTTTTGCAGAAAAATGGATGCAACCAGAGATGTTAAGCGAATTAAGCCAGTCTCAGAAAGACAAATACCATGTTTCTCTCATATGTGGTTTCTAGATTTTAGTCTGTGTGTATATGGATATCCATGTAGTGCATGTGAAAAGAGACCTGTGTGCATGTGAAAAGAGGCAGTGTGTGTAGAGGGGGAGAGTGCATGTGTACACGAATGTGTGGAGATGAGAGGTCTGTAATCATATCTTCCTCAATCACTCTCCACTTCATTACTTTTTAAACATTTATCTATTTATGTGTGTATGTGTGTGTGTGTGTGTGTGTGTGTACCACTGTTCATGTGCAGAGATCAGAGTTCAGCTTGTGGGACTTGGTTCTCTTCTTCCACCATGTGGGTTCAAGGACTGAACTCAGGTCATCAGGCTTGGTGGTAAGCACCTTTATCCACGGAGCTGTCTCTCCAGCACTCTCCATTGTATTTTTTGAGATAGGGTATCACTGAACCCGGAGCTTGCCAATATGGCTAGAATGGCTGACCAGTAAGCCACAGAGAGCCTCACGTCTCTGCCTCCTCAGGACCTGGATGACAGAGGTGGGCGGCTATGAGCTTTTTATGTGGATTCAGGGGGATCAAATTCAGGTCTCCATGTTGCACTTTTAAGGTTCTCCACAGTTCTGGGAGAGTACCCAGCCAGGGCTCTGCCTGTTCTTACCTGCATTTCTTGCTGCTCCTTGTCTAAAGAATTCACACGCTCTTGAAGTGTATTTTCTTGTTTTTCAAAATTCTTGAGAAGAAGCATCTCTTGAAATAATGTGACATGATGTAGGTCAGATAATTTCATCTTAATATCGAGCTTCAGTTTCCGATGTCTCAGAAGATGAAGCTCTGCATCAAAAGAGACAATCAGTTCTTTGATCTGAAATAGAAAAAAATGTGAAGATATATAAGTCAAAAGGAAAATGCTCTTTTTAAACTATCAAACAATACTAATGTGTCTAAAATATTTTTTCATTATACCATCATTATGGATGGAGAATTATATGCATTTATATAAACTCAACTTATTGATGGCACTAAATTTGCATGACTTGGTGGTGGGAATTCTGTAACAGTCCTTCAAGCTGTTTCTTCATCATTTACTAGGCCATTGTTCAGTAACCTTTCTGCTCACTGTATATGACAGAATGTGTAAATTGCAGGAGAACTGTAAGCTTTCTTAAAGGAAGCCATAAGGATATAAATTCCTCAAGGTGGCCTTTGCTCTAGCCCTATCAACTGGTCATTTCCCTGGCTGACAGAGACAGCTTACAGGCCCGACTTAACTCCTGCTGTGCCATAAAATTACTTGCCTGCTCTAGCAGCCTGACCTCTGCTCAAGCCTTATCAACTAATCACTCCCCGGACTGACAGAGACTGTTACAGAGTCAACCTAACTCCTTTGGTGCCATAAGATAACTTGCCTGCTCATCCTGAGAAAATAACCCCAGGAAGAAGACCCTCAGTTACTCCAAGGACACTGACACTGAGCAGAGTCCTGCAGCTGCGTTCAGCAGAGTTCCTATGTAAGTCCACATTGCTCTGCCTTGCTTTTACTGATGCCTGGTTTCTGCTGGCGGCAGAGGCCCTTTGCTATGTTCTCGTGAATAAAGGAACATATTCCTTGCCTGTTGCAGATCTGGCTCTGGTTCTTATTCCTTAGCTTTAAACTCCTTCCTTTTTTCTTCTCTCCTAACTCTAACAGTATAGACTACGAGTTCTCTGCGGGGAGGGAGGCTTTATATCTGTCTCCTCTTTATCCACAACAATATCAATGCTTTCTCACAGTAAGCATAAATATTATCCCTCATTCCTTATTTTGAAAAAAATTCAAAGTTACAGAATGGAAAATATTTAAAAATAGGTAACTATAGAATCACAAGAAACAGTCCAATTCTCTTACTTTACAAATGAAATGAGGTTAAAGGTGATTTTTCTGTAATTAGGCTACCTTATTACAGAGGCAGGATAAAAACCACCCCAACTCCTGATTCCACTATAGTCAAGATGACTCTAAGTCTTCACTGTTGCTCCGATCTTGGCACAGCTCTACCTACCTCATCCCAGAGCTTGCGAAAGGTCTATTCTCCACAGGAAACTAGCACAGTTGAAAGAGGGGAACCATCTCACGTTTTTTTTTTTTATTATGTTGTGCATTATAGGAAGTCTCAACTATAACCTATCATGTGTGAAGTACAGACTAGAGGATGAGGAAGGGGAAAAGAGCTGTAGGTTTGTGGTAATGAAATTACTAAAGAATTTACCAATTTAAAATATAGAAATAAACCCAAAGAAAAGAAAAGAAATCAAGCTTTTAAGTAAATACGGGTATAGATTGTATGTTTGGGCTTTCTTTTATGCTTATTCAAGAAATTTGAATTATTCCTAAGTTTCTCTGGAGGCAGAAAGACATTTTCTTCATTGCAATGCCATTCTGAAATTGGACCACATGGGTCTCCAGGGTTGTAAGGGTCACACCTACTTTATCATCTCTCATCTCTCGTAACTTGCAAGTTTTGTAGTGATAGAGCTATTTTTTTCCTTGAGTACCACTGTGTTCCTACTTCCTAGCTAGCATGTTCCTACACATGGAATGGTCAATGGATATTTATTGCATTAATAAGGTCAATGAAACAAAAGCTGGGCATGGTGGCATATGCCCTTGACTCCAGCACTCAGAAAGCAAAGACAGGTGGATCTCTATGAGATGGAGGCCAGTTTGGTCTATATCTTGAATTCTAGGCCAGCTGGCGCTACAGGGAGACCCTGTCTCATAAAACAAAACAAATAAAATAAATAAAAGTGTAATTAAATCAAAGCTTATAAATGATGATCTATTAAATGTCTGGCATACTGTGGTGGTGTGAATGACAAACTTCCCCCATAGGCTCCAAGCACTTGGATACTTGGCTCCAGTTTGTGGTGCTGTTTGTGAAGGTTTAGGGGGTGTGGAGCTTGCTAGAATAAGCACACCACTGGGGGCAGGCTTAGAGAGTTCACAGGCTTGTCCGACTTTTGCTTTCTCTGCTTCCTATGCTTGAAGATGTGAACGCTCAGCTTTCTGCTCCAGCTGCCTCAGTCACCAAAGCCCCTCCCACTATGATGGACTCTTACCCCTCTGGAACTATAAACACAAACAAATGCTTCCTTTTATAAGTTGCCTTGGTCATGGGGTTTTATCCTACTAACAGAAACATAACTAATACATATACTGCATGTCTAGACATCCCAAGGGAACCAGAAGTATATGTGGCTCTCATCTAAAGAAGTATAATCTAATTTACAAGGCAAAACTATCCCACATGAAGCATCAAGAAAGACATGTGTAAAACATAAGGTGCTAACTACAGGTGCAGTGAAGTGCAGAAACAAGGAGCATGTGTAGTATGGGTGGAAGGACGTTGGAGAGGGTCTAGAACTAGTCTATGCTTTGAATGATGGTCCAACTCTGTAAGAAAGTCATTGTAACTATGATAAAGCAGTAAAGGAAAAAAGCACAGATACAAAACGGTGATTAAGGGAGTGCCTGGGAGGCAGGACAAAATAGCTCATAGTGAAGAGGAAGGCTGGAACACTACAAGGAAGCATTGAGAAGGGGACTCCATTGCTGGTAGCACAGAGCTATCTGTCCAAGAAACATTCTCTTCCTTTCATAGTGAAATTTTATACTGCCCTTCTGACCTGAATCTGGTCCTGAATTTTGTTAGGTATAATAGTATTTGTCACTCCAGCTCTAGAACATTTTGAACCTAATCATCATAAACACTCCCAACTACTGGAGCAAATCAGGCATTAGAGAAAGAATGGAGCCAGGCGTGGTGGCGCACACCTTTAATCCCAGCACTCAGGAGGCAGAGGCAGGCAAATCTCTGTGAGATCGAGGCCAGCCTGGTTCACATAGCAAGTTCCAGGCCAGCTGGAGCAACAGGGAGACCTTGTCTCAAAAAAGAAAAGAAAAAGAGGAAAGAAAGAAGGAAAGAGGATGGTTAGCCTAACGTGGTGGCTCATACCTCTAATTCCAGCACCTGGGAGGCTGAGGCAGGAGGATTAGCCACAACTTCAAGGACAACCTAGGATACATAGGAAATTCAAGCTCAATTTGAGCTACAAAGTGAGACCTCGGGTTGACAGGGTGGGGTGGGAAAAGCAAAAGGCTGTCCAGGTGCACCCACTCATCTTCTCAAAGCTGTTCCCTCCAGTTCCCTTTACCATGACTTCACTCAGATCCCAACTTACTGTTTCTTACATTTTTCTTCCTACAGAAAAAAAAGCTGCAAATTTTCAAAGTTCTAGATAGAGCATGAAGATTTTCAGGTAGCCAATGATAGGGAGAAAGCCAAGCCATCAGTGAGTAACAAGCTAATCAGCATTGGGGGGTGGGGTTAATGTAGAGAAAGTTTCAATCAATCAATCAATCAATCAATCAATCAATCAATCAATCATAAACTAAATCTAATTCTCCCATTGTTCTTTCAGCTTTAAGTAGAGGGACAGCTTCACATCTTACCCTGTTGGTCAAATACTGCTGCATGTATAAGTGTTTAACTTCATCTCTCTTCATGATCTCCACTTCCACTTCAGTTGGCTCTGCTTTCTCAAACTCTAACAACTTTGGAACATCTATGCTTAATCCTCCCTTGGATGACCTAGACAATGAATCCCTTGTTGTTAAATTTCCTTCCTTTCCAGAAGACAGTTTGAGGAATCCTCCTCCGCCCGAGACACTAGACCCTGACTGTTCCGAATGGTCGGTCTTTTCAGTCTGACATTTCTCATGTTTTCTCTTAAACCTCATGAGAGTTTCCTCATCATATTGAAATCTCTTTTCGGGATCTTCTTCTGGGTGTATCTGGGGGACTTGGGGAATGGGTATATGCTTGGACATGGGAATGGATAACTGAATGGTCTTCAGTTCTTGTACCAGACACTGGATTTCCTCAACAATAGCCAACTTAAGATCTCGAAGAGAAAGGATGCACTTGTTCATGTACCTTTTCTTTCCATGAGCCTGAAACAAAGAGAAAGGAAGCAAGCACAGTTTGAAATGCCATTTATGTCTTATTTCAAGACTGATACTCTGAGTGAAAACTAATGATATAAATGAATCTGACCATCTCTATTAAGCACTAAATTATGCTTTTTTCTGAACTCAAGCTTCTCTCATCTTGACCCCGGAAGACTGGAGGACAGTATGGATGTGACCCCTGGACTCCTTCCACTTTCTTCCATTGAAACAAATGGTTGGTTCTCCTTGGTTTTCAAGGCTGAGTTCCCTGTCCTCCTTTACCTTTCCATGGAAGTCTCTCACAAAGCTTTATGCTCAGCTGGACACTCTTATGGAGAAGAAAGGCGTTACCTAACTGCCGTTCCCAGCTGGAACCTTGGATCTTTTTCGCTTAGTTGGACTCACCTAAGCTTCTCATCTAGGACTGTCCTGGTTTTTTTCTTCATTGCTGTGACAAAATACTCTGACCAATACCAACTTGGGGAGGAAAGGGTTTACTCAGCTTACATCTCCCAGGTTGCGGTTCATCAAGGTATAGGAACTCGGCAGGAACCTGGAAGCAGGAGCTGGAGCACAGGCCATGGAGAAACAGTGCTTACTGACTTGCTCCCCTGGCCCCTGCTCAGCCTGCTTTCTTATGCAACACAGGCCCACCTGCCCAGGGGTGGCACCACCCACAGTGGGCTGGGCCCTCCCACATCACTCATCAAGAAGATGCCCCTCAGACATGGCCACAGGCCAGTCCAACAGAGACAATCCCCCACCTGAGGCTCCCTCAACCCAGGTATGTCAAGTTGACACTAAAGCTATCCAGCACAATTGACCCCTTGTCAACTTGACACACAAACATCACTATTAAACCATAACCTTTCCAATTCTTGTCCCCAAGATATGATGTTAATATCACAACATAAGACAGTACAACCTTAAAAACCCCACAATCCTTAAAAAATCCAAACACTTAAAAGTCCATAGTCTCTTTTAAAAGTCTCTTAACTGTGGGTGGGCGTCTGTAAAATCCAAAACAAGTCTGTCTTATTTCAAAGAGAAAAATCAGGCACACCTAAGCAAAACCAAAGTCCAGCAAAGTAGCTCGAGGCTGGACATCTGTCTGCGATTCACTCATGATCTTCTGGGCTCCAAAGGGTACTGGCAGCTCTGACTCTGTAGTCCACAGCACACTCAGCTTGTCTCACAGACCCAGGCCAGCTCCATTCCACACCTACTGCTGTCCTTGGTCATCCCATGGTCCCGGCATCTCCAAAAAGCTGGGGTTTCCACTGAAACTGAGGCTACACTTCTCTCCTTGACCCCTACAATCCTGGGGTCTTAACTGCAACTGAAGCTACACTTTCACCTATGGACTTTCCTGGCCTCTCACAGTGCCAAGCCTCAGCTGCTTTCTGTGACCCCTTCATACTTTCAACATCAGAACCACTCAGGAGACTCTTACACATTACCACGTCCTGCTCCCACCTAGAGATGGAAGTTCAGGTCCCCTCTGTGTGCTGACCCTGAGGACATACCTCCCAGAAGATTTCACCACAGTGATGCTGGTCTTTTGTTACAGCTGATCTTGCAGCCCCAGCTAACCAGCATCAATTATCCCAGTAAAGCAAAGGTTTTGCTTCAGGTTCTGGTCTCTTCTTAATCACAGCTGATTCTTCAGCCCCAGCCGACCAGAACCCAAAGATCCCCAATCCAAAATCTCACCGGAACAGCCCTGATAGTCTCCATTTCCCTTTGAAGCTTCACAAGCCAGGCCTCCATCGTCTACAACTCTTTCAGCATAACTGTTCCAAGCTCCACTACAACAAACTCTGAGCAAGCAATGGCTTTTCCAGCCCAAAGTTCCAAATACTTCCACAGTCCTCCCCAAAACACCAAGGTCAGGTCTGTCACAGCAATATCCCACTCTCTGGTACCAATTTCTGTCCTGGTTTGTTTCTTCATTGCTGTGACAAAAATACTCTGACCAATACTAACTTAGGGAGGAAAGGGTTTACTCAGCTTACAACTCCCAGGTCACAGTTCATCAAGGAGCCCAAGGTAGGAACTCAGGGCAGGAACCTGGAAGCAGGAGCTGGAGCACAGGCCATGGAGGAATGCTGCTTACTGGCTTGCTTCCCTGGCCCCTGCTCAGCCTTCTTTCTTATGCAACACAGGCCCACCTGCCCAGGGGTGGCACCACCCACAGTGGGCTGGGACCTCCCACATCACTCATCAAGAAGATGCCCCTCAGACATGGCCACAGGTCAGTCCAATAGAGGAAATCCCCCAATTGAGGCTCCCTCAACCCAGGTGTGTCAAGTTGACACTAAAGCTATCCAGCACAAGGACCCTAAATTACAAGTTAGCATTTTCATTCTATAAGTTGTCTGCATGGTTATTGTCACTCTTGTGTAGATAAGGTCATGATCCTAAACTTCAACATGACATCACACAAAGAAGTCCTTTCTTGGTTTCTTCTCCATGTATCTAAGCCAAGGCATACCGGCATAGCTATCACACATATTCGTTCCTTGTTTATTACCAACTCTGTCCTTGGTCTGTGTTTCTAAAAGTGCTTATCAGAGCCTAAGGGCACATGCAACACTATCTCCTGTGTGCAATTAAGCCATTAACTAGATTAAGAGTTACTTTGAACAAAATACAGTGTTTTGTTTTTTTAAAAAAAAAGACCAAAAGCACTTCCTCAAGCAATCTTATAAGACTTATCTAGGGAGCTGGAGAGATGACTCAGTGGTTAAGAGCATTGGCTGCTCTTCTAGAGGACTCAGGTTGAAGTCCCAGCACCCATGTGGCAGCTAATAACTGTCTATGACTCCAGGTCCAGGGGATCCAATACCCTCTTCTGGCCTCCATGGGCTCTGCATAACATGGGTGTACTTACATACATGGAAGCAAAAATTAAAATAAAAATAAAAAGAAATAAATACATAAAAGATTTCTCTAGATATTTGCTATGAAGTGAAATAAATGAAACAAGATAGGGTTTACATACTTGAGAATACACCTTTAAAGTATTAAGGTTTGAACTGAAAAGGCAACACTGGGTAAGTGGGGAACCGCTCTGAAGTACCTAGAGAATTAGGCATAAAAGAACAAACCCACTGCTCCGGTGGCTGTACAGCCCCTTTCTTTGAGGAGCCTGTGATGGTTAGTTTTCATTGTCAACTTGACACAGTCTAGAATCACCTGGGAAGAGAGTTCCAATGATGACTTGCTCAGGTTGTTCCGGGGGCATGTCTGTGGGGGAATACCTTTACTATGTTCATTGATGTGGGAAGAATAACCCACTATGGGCAGCACCATTCTCTGGATTTGGATCTTGGACTGCATAAGAGTGGAGAAAGTGACTAGAGCAGTGAGCAGGCATGTATTCATTTCTCTTGTGAGTATTGATGCGATGTGATCGGTTTTAAGTTCCTGCAGCTTTGACTACCCAGTTATGATGGATTGCAACCTGAAACTGTGAGCTAAAATAAACCCCTTCTCTTCTAAGGTGCTTTGTGTCAAGGTGTTTTATCACAGCAACAGAAATGAAGATATACCCCTTTTCTTTCTGGTTTTCCAAATAACTTACAAATTTAAACACTGTCTATATTAGTAACTTTTCCTGTTGCTGTGATAACATACTCTGACAAAAGCAATTTAAGAAAGGATTTATTTTGACTCAAGAGTACAGCCCATCATGGCTGGGGAGTCCTGTGGCAGGAGCCTGAGGCAGCTGTTCAGAAGGGGGTTGGGGACAAGGAATCCCTGTGCTTAGCTAGATTGCTCTTTTTAATGCTTTTCAGGACCTAAACCCAGATAATAATGCCCCCTACTGTTAGGGGTGTCTTCTCACCTCAATGAACCTAATCAAAATAATCCTTCATAGATGTGAACAGAGGCTAACATAATCTAAATAGTTCCTCACAAGTGTTCCTAGAGGCTTATCTCCTACGTGGCTCCAGATGCTGTCAAGTTGACAATCAAAACTAACCATTACACAGGCTGAAAGAAAGGAGGACATATGCTATACTGTCTGTAAAATGCTTAAAACTTCAATAATCTTGAATTTGATCATGACAATAATTATTTACTGATTTTGACCATTATACTAACCTTATAAGGTTATTGTCTTACCACTATGTTAATTGGTATTAGTACCTTTTTATAGGTGAAATGACTTAGGCTTAGTATAGTTACATGACTAGCATAGTTCACATAGCTCATAAGTACCAGAGATGGGAAAGAATCGCCATCTTCTGACTTATAGAATATTTTCTACAATATTTTATGCTGCCATTTTTTTGTTTGTTTGCTTGTTTTTTGAGACAGAGTCTCAGTATGTAGACCTGACTGTCCTGGAACTCACTGTGAAGACCAGGCTGGCCTTGAACTTACAGAGATCCACCTGCCTCTGCCTCCTGAGTGCAGGGATTAAGGGCATGCACCACCACACCTGGCTTATGCTGCCATTTTAATGAAGCAGATTTCAGTGATATAAAGTTCATTAAAGACTCCACATCTGCCCATTTTATCTAGTGAGACTGAATTTCAGACCAAGTGGGCTGCAGTATGCATTAATGTTAAAGTGCTTGCCTGACATGTGTGAGATCCTGGATTTGATTCCCAGAACTGCAAAAAAGAAAAGAAAAGGAAGAAAAAGAAAAGAAAAGGAAGAAAAAGAAAAGAGGAAAGGAAAGGAAGAAGGAAGGAAGGAAGGAAGGAAGGAAGGAAGGAAGGAAGGAAGGAAGGAAGGAAGGAAGGAGAAATTAATTTCAGATTGGATGACTAGAGAGTTGTAGCAACATGAGATATAGACACTGAGATATGAAAATATAGGCAATAGCTAGCTAGTTAGCAACTTCTACGAGCTTACTACATAAAAAACTGTGGTCACGCCTGGTGTTGCGGTGCATACCTTTAATCCCAGCACTTGGGAGGCAGAAGCAGGTGGATCTCTGTGAGTTTGAGGCCAGCCTAGTCTACCCAGTGAGTTTCAGGACAGCTAGGGCTACAGGGAGACCCTGTCTCAAAAAACAAAAAACAAAAACAAAAAACCAGCTATGGTCATAAGAACATTTGTCTATTGATGATGAATTAAAAAATAATGAGTAAATTAGAGTTACCTTAGACAAAAATTAGCTAGAAAAATAATCTAAATGACCACTAAAAGATATCTAAAATGTTGATTGTGACCAGAAAGATATAGTTATGATCTATGATTATTTTGGGGGGCTATGAACGAGCATGCCAAGATTCCTGTACCACAGACCTGAATAACATCTTGGGTGAAAATGAAAAACACACCTTCAGGATACTTCATTTTCATTTCTCAGAAATATTTAAAGCATTCAAATATGCTATCTATGGGATATAACTGGTATCCTGTGAATGTGGTAACCTGAGCTGTGTAGCATGTACAAACTCAGTAGGCAGCCAAATATCAAATCCCTAAATATCAAAGCTAGGGTCTTTCTGAGCTTCTAAATGTAAAGAGTCACCCATCAGTTTAAATAGTGCTTGAGGGATTAACATGACAGGAAGGAGGAATATTAGTAAGAAAAATGAGGATCAGAGTCAGTCTGATTAGCAAAAGTTTAGAAAAGTCAGAAAGGAACATGTTAATTTGTTGGTATTTAATTTCAACAAAAGATTGGAAGCCCTTTAAAGAAAGACTAAATAATGACAGTCTTCCTAAAGAAGACTACCATTGTCAATGGCAACCAAACACTGAAACTACCATGGATTTGTTTCAATTTCACAAATTCAAAGTGCACAAAATAGTATAGTAATTTCACCCATAAAAGTGAAAGGCTCAAAGGCTGGTTCTACCATATGAGCTGATACAATCATACACAGATCTCTCATCCTCTCCGGGCCCCAGTTTCATCATTTATAAAAAGAGGACACAGTCTAGATTTCCATACAATCTTTTCCAGTTCTAAACTTTTGTGGCTGTAAATACTTGTGGACCAGAGAGAGAAATGGGTGGTTGAGCGGACTGCAACTAAACACCAGGCTGCTGTGTCACTGTCATGGCATCTGAAGGTAAGTACCATCACGTCAAGCTGTCCCAGCTCCTCTTCCTTCTTGGCGGCATTTATCCTCATGTGCTCAGGGATCTTGTAGTCTGCGGCTGTCTTCAGATTGAAATCTCCCATGTATGTCTGGGCTTCTTTGATGGCTTGAACATCTTTAGGATCTTCATAGTCATCATCAGGTTTGCTTTTGTATCTATCAGAAAAAGCAGATAACTCAGACATAAATGTAACAATAAATCCCAATCTATTTTAATTTGGTACAAGTCTGAACCTGTGATGTTACTTTTGTCTGTAAGGTCAAAGCATTTTTTTTTTTAGTTTAAAGCAAATCAATGATTATACCAAATAAAATTAAATATGTGAAAACAAATCACTAGATTGTACTAAAATAATATAATCATCGTGAGATTTTAGTTCCTTTCTAAGTAATTAACATTAAAACTGTCATTTATTTTCTCAATATAAATTTAGTCTTGGAAATTGTGTGGTCTTTAAAAATCACAAAATGGTCAATTTTATTATTCTGTAATAGACTGACATAAAACTTTCAAAGTCAAGATGATTGCATGAGCACATGCACATGTCCCCTCCTTCCAAAACTCCGTGGCAACAGCCATAGGTACAAACAGCAATATTAACTCATTAGAGAAGCTGAGAACAGGGTAGAAAAACTATGAGTCAGCCCATTATACTGATACATTTTTGGAAGACAGAAAAAATGATGAAATTATATAAATGAATAAACCAAACCACAGAAAGCTATAGCCGAGATTGCTCCAGGAGAAGGCTACAAGAAGGATTTAATATGATTTTCTTGGTAGAACTGCTAGGAGTCCATGCACAAAGGGAAAAGTAGGTGTAACAGTGAAATGGAATGCACCATTAGTTAAGGGCTGTAAAGGGGATGCCTCTTAACTTTCCAACCCACACATACAGCTTTCATACCAAGGCGTAAACAAAGAATTGATCTCTACAGAAATGGAATTCCTGGTTTGGGATGCCCTAAGATATTTTTGGGTATCCTTTCAAGGCCTTTCATTGCGAACTTTCAACATTGTTGCTTAATTCTTTAAAGCAAAGTCAGGCAGTCAATATGAACAGGCATACCCGCCTTGTAGTCAGTACTTTCCTTTAACAGAAAAACTTTTTAGTAAACAACATGTGAAACAGCAGAGGAAACCCACTGACAACCATTCATTTATGTACACCTGTACTAAAACAAGGGATTTTATTTTGTATTTTTTAATGTGTATGAGTGTTTTGCCTGCGTGTATGTGCACCTGTGTGTGCAATGCCCAAGGAGGCCAGAAGAGGGTTTTGAACACCTGGAATTGAAGTTATTTATGGTTGTTAGCTGCCATATGGGTGTTGGGAACGGAATCCAAGTCCTCTCCAAGAGCAGTCAGTGCTCTTAACCACTAAGCCATTTCTCCAGCCCCATGATTGTTATTTTTAAATGGGAAGGGAAGTAGGAAAGGAGAAAGAAGAGGGAGAGGAATGGGGAAAAGAAAAATGGGGCCCATAATTATCCTCATGCTGTAAGAAACTAGAAAACTGAAGCAAAAATATATGATACAACTATGTTCAGACACAGAAACATAATCAAGAGACAATGAATATAGTTAATAACAAGACGAGTTCCTCAGAGAAATAAAACAAAGTAATTCTATCTCCTGACTTTCTGTGTGGAAGAAATTACTAGATTGTGGAGAAAGTAGGATTAGGACACTATTGGCCCAACTACAACCTAGTGAGATCACTAGTTGAGAAGACAGAACTGAGTTCAGAGAAAGTGGCTAGAACTTTGGCAGAAAAGAATATCAGAGCTACTTGAAATACTACTGCCAGATAGCTACATGGGCTCTCGTCAGTTTTGAGATGAGTATTAATCTACACATGTGTAGTGTGAACTGTAATATAACTTGGCAAAGAACTGATAAATCAAAATGTACAATGACCGGAAAGCGGCAAACAACACATATCTGAGAATAACGTACATTTACCAGCTGAGAGACTTTATTGAATGTAGGGGTTATCTAAGAGCAACCTTAACCTAGAAGACCTGAACAGCATTATTAACTATCTTTTCCTAGAGCACTACACCCAGATAAATAGAATGGAGCACCATAAACTAGTTTTCATCAATATAGTTACTTTCTATGACAACAAAAAACTAAATAAGACAGCAAAAATATTTTTAATGCCAAACATTTGAAAACTAAACAACAAACATCAAAATAAACCAGAAGTAAAGGAAAAGATCACAAGGGATACTAGGAAGATTTTATATTGAATAACAATGCACATGTATCAGAACTTGTAAAATCCAGCTCAGTTAATGCTTAGAACAAGGAAATTTGTATTTTATAGGCTCATGTTAGAAAAGAAGACAGGCACAGAATCAAAGTACATGCACCACGTTTACACTATAGAAGAATGAAAAATCGATTTACCCTTAAAACAAGGAAGGAGATTATTTTTTAAATCAGTAATATAGGAAGTAGACAATTTTTAAATCTCTGAACAAAAGTATTTTAAAAATATTCAAAAGATTAGTAAATTATTAGCTGAAAAGGTCAAGAAAAAGAACACAAATTAATAATATCCTGAATTAAAGGGGAGTCACTGAAACAAATACAAAAAAACCCACCCCACATTGACAGTCCAGTTAAAAGGCACAAATTCCTTGAAAGACAAAGATTACAAAAACTGACCCAAGAAGAAACAAAAACTATAAAAAGCTCTATAGCAACAAATGGTTTGAACTCATACTTGATATCATCTTGTAAGAAAACTACAAAGTCAGATGGTCTTACTTTTAACTTCTATCAGATATCTGAGCGATAGAAGAGCTAAGCCTTCTCAAGTTCTTTCAGAAGACAGAACAGGAGCAAACACCTTTCAATTTGTTTTATGAAACCTGGATTATTCTAATAATACTCCAGAAAAGACATCTGCATGAAAATGAAATCATAGATCAAAATTTTCATTAAAAATAGCAATAGTTCTCAAAAATACTAGCAAATCAAATCAAGCAACATTTTTATATCATACTATCTTATAATCAAAAGAGATCTGTCCTCCAGATTCTATTTTAAGTTGGCATTTAAAATCAATCACTTTAACCCAAATATTAAAGAATAAAAGAAAAAAGCATATAATCACCTCAATATATACATTAAGGACATTTTGACTAATACTAGAAATATGGTATTTTAATTTTCCACACCATTAACTCTTTTCTAAAGAAATAAAGACCGGGCATGGTCTTTAATCCCAGCACTTGGGAAGCATAAGAAAGTGGATCTCTGTGAGATAAAGGCCAGCCTCGTCTACATAGTGAGTTCCAGGCCAGCTGGAGCTACAGGGAGACCCTGTCTCAAAAACACTCCCCTCAAAAAAGGCATTTTACTGAGCCAGTGAGGTGGCTCAGTGGGCAAAGGTGCCTGTCACCAAGCCTAACAACCCGAGTTCAATCTCCAGAACCCACTCCTGCAAATTATCCTCTGACCTCCATGTGAAACAATGTCTTAAAAATAAATATGTAGGAGATGGAAAGATGGCTCAGTGGTTAAGGGCACTGGCTGCTCTTGCAGAGGACCCAGGTGGGTTTGATTCCCAGCACCCACATGCAGCTAACAGCTTTCTGTAACTCCAGTTCCAGGGAATCCAGCTGCCTCTTCTGACTTCCGCAGACATTGCACAACATGGGTGCATTTACATACATGCAGGCAATACACTCATACAACATAAAAAATAATAAGTAAAATATTAAAAAAAAACGGGCTGGAGAGATGGCTCAGCATAACTCTAGTCCCAGGGGATCCAACAGCCTCTTCTGACCTCCACTGGCATTGCACGACAGGGCTGCACTTACCTACATGCAAGCAATGCACGCATACACATAAAATAAAAATAATAAATGAATGAATGAATGAATAAATAAATAAATAAATAAATAAATAAATAAATAAATAGGAGGCAAAGGGAGAGGGAGCTCAAGAGGGAGAGGGATCGGTCTTAGAAACCCAGACAAGGAATTCTTCACTACCAGCCATTGTATAAGAAATGCTAGAGTTCTTCAAATTAAAATGAAAGCATAATATCATAAACAAGTATGAAACTCACTAGTAATGGTAAATATATGGGCAGATATAGAATGAATATATAATTTCAAATGAATAAATAATTTTCAAATTCTGGTATAAAAGTTAAAAGATGAATCTCAAAAATAACTATAACTTTAAAATGTTAAAAGATATATAAATATATGTAAATGGTGACAAGAATAATATAAACTATGGGGAAAATGTAACACAGAGTTTTGGGAGAGCTAGAGAGATGGTTAAGAGATTGTACTTGCTGAGTGTGGATCTCAGCACCAATTTAACAAGCCGGGTGTCCCATAAATACCTGGAACTTCAGCTCCAAGGGGTTCAATGCCCTCTTCTAGCCTCCTTGTGCACACAGCCATGTGTACCCTCTTACATACATATGCATACACTTATACACGCGTAAATAGAATAAATTCTTGAAGGTTTTTCTAGGCAGTTGAAATTGTTACAAAACTAAAATAGATTGAAAAATGAGCTAAGGAGTTGAAGAGTCACTTCTCCAAAGAAGACATACAAATGGCCAACAGGCATGTTTAAAAAAAGGAAAGAGGGCTGGAGAGATGGCTCAGCAGTTAAGAACACTGGCTGTTGTTGCAGAGGCCCAGGTTTGAATCCCAGCACCCACATGGCAGCTAATAATTGTCCATAACTCCAGTTCCAGGGGATCCGACGGCCTCTTCTGTCCTTTGAGGCCATTGCACAACACAGGCACACTTACCTACATGCAGGCAATACACACATACACATAAAAATAATATTTTTAAAAAAGAAAAGAAAGAAAAACTCAACATCACTAGTCATTGGGAAAATACAAATCCCAACGACAGTAAAATATCACTTCCCACATATCAGGTGATCAAAACACCCCAAAGCAAGAAGCACTAGAGACATGTGGAGAAATTAGAATTCTTGCACATTGCTAGTACAATGCAAAAAGATACAGCCATTATAGAAGACAGACGAGGGGGCTGGAGAGATGGCTCAGTGGTTAAAAGAGCACCGGCTGCTCTTGCAGAGGATCCAGGTTCAATTCCAGCACCCACATGGCAGTTAACAGCTCTCTATAAATCTAGGTCCAGGGGATTTGATGCCCTCTTCTGACCTCTGAGGATTTTGCATGACACTGAAGCACTTATACACATACAGGCAATACACTCATACACATGAAGTAAAAATAATAAATAAAACATTTAAATAAGATAACAGAAGAAAAGTCCCTCAAAAAATGAAAATACAACTGTAATATGACCAATTAGGATCTTTAGGATATTGTGACAGAAAAGAATGTCTTAATCCTTAAAAGTCATTCTGACTATATTAACAAATTATACTTTCTGGACCAGAAATAAAAAATCACAGAAGTTCCAGTGAGAAGCATCACCAGTTTAAAGGATCCAGCTGACACCACTGTCACATGTCCATCCTGCTTTTATCTTTATTTTTCACTTTTTCATTTAAATAAATAACAATGTCAACAACTATATAGGTTTTTTAAACATATTTTGAGGATGATATATTAAAAGTGTAAGATTTAGTTTTAAATGACTCACAGCTCTTCCCATTCCTTTTTGCGCTGTACAATTTTGAGTTTGGCCCTTTCAGATTTTTGTGTAAGTTTCTTCATCTTCTCAATTTGATTTCCTACCATAATTTCGCTTAGGGTTCTAGGTCGAATTTTCTTCCCTTTTTCTATTATTGATTCTTCTTGCATGTTAACAGTCCCACCTACACATAAAAAATATCAAGAGAAAATACTAAAACAACTACCATGAATTCAACCCCCAAGCACAGATACACCCCGCCCCCCCCCCAATCTCTTTAAGGGAAAGACTCTAGATAGGCTGACCAGGCTCCAGTGGATAAACTCACACCAAGGGATATCTGGGTACAAATGCTTGAATGGATAGGCCTTAACATATGATAGAATGTATGAAATCTAGTGGGAGGCGGTTTAAAGGAGGGTGCAGATGGGGGAGGGGTATAAAGATGGCTAAGATGTTTTGTATAAAATGCACAAAAATTCAATAAAATATAGAAAAAAAGTTGACAAGCTAAAACATATATTGAATAATCAGAGAACAGTATGAAAGATAATGGACAACAGACACTGGAAAGCTGAGAAGGAGCAGTGTTTGTGATATGGTGTTGGAGACAGGGAAATAAATAGTCTTATATTGTATTGACATGCTTAAAATGGTTGTTCATCTATCTATAGGTATAAAGGACTAAATGAGGTGGTTATTTGATCGACTCTCACAACAAAGAATGGGTTTGTTTATAAATATAATGAAAGAAATAATAGAAAGGTCTAAGAAAAAATAAAGGGTTGGAATATTAAAGTTAGTAAGATTAAAATGGCTGGATACTTCCAAAATGAAAGGAATGATAAAAATATTTAAGCGAGTTTATTAAAGGTCTAAGTAAGTTTATAGAAGTACAAGGTGAGGGTTGTTGTTATAATAATCACTGTTACAGCCAAAGAAGAAAATTTTTTTTCAGTCTACTTCACTGACTTGCGCTACACACCTAAGCACAGTCTGGAGTTAAATGTGTGAAGACAAATGTTAAAGTTACCTATAACTACTAGAAAATGTCCTTTAATGCTTCTCTATATTATACAAATGTTGCTTTTAATGTTTTCCCTTACCCATAACAAAATAATTTAATTCAAGAGCTAGGTTTTTGCCTCCTGGAACCAGATGGGACGGTCCAAAAGAAAACAGTTTTGTTTGGTGAGCCTGGTTTGAATCTGAAGCAGTTTGTTCCCTATTTCACATACCACTGGCATTCTTTACAACCCCACAGAACAAGCAATAATAGAGAGACAACACAAACATCTCAAAGATCAAATAAGTAAAAGGAAAATGGGGGAATCACCTATACCTGGGATAACATTTCCTATTATACAGGTCTCTACTAACTCTAAACTTTTTTTTATTATTTTTTAATAACCACACACTTAGAAGAAGCATTTCACTACATCAGCATTGACATATTCAATAACAATTTTCTGAGCTAGGCTGCAT